GAGGCCCTGGATTGATGAGGAATATTAAGCTATATGAAATAATACAGGAAGGGAAGTCATATGATACTTAATTAGGGAAAAGTCACTTACATGAAAAGCCGAGAACCTGAGGTCAGCAATCTACTGGTCTCCAGGCCTCAAGCAGAACCCCAAGATAGAAGCTCTCCCCTTCTCCTCATCCTTTACCCCTGCCTTCTCCCACATATGTACCTGTGACCATTCCCAAATGGGTGTGGTCAGTGCTAGGGTCGTAAGATCTCTCCCTACACTGGGTACTACCCTAGCACTGTAGAAGAAAGGAAAGGAAAGAAGGAGAGAGGGAAGAAGAGAGATATAAAAGATATGAAAGAGGATATTGAAGGCCCACAAAGCAGGACCATCTCATCTGTGCCAGCCTTTCATAAGCACATGAAAACACTTCAATAGTTTATTAATTTCCAATCTGCCTATTGCAGCCCAGATACAGAAAGGAGGGCCTGGGCCTGCCCCCAAATGATGCGATGGACTTTGATGATTCCCATGGAGGACCTCACTATCCCTGGGAAGTGGGTGGGGGATGGGTTGGGGGATTGGTGGGAAGCATGGGAGGATGGAAGAGCGAGGGAATGTGGGCATGGATATGTAAATAAGAGGGTTTCTAAAATTAAAAAAGTATTTTTCCAATCTGCTTTCTGCTTTCTGTAAACTGTGTTACTGCTATTCAAAGTAAGGTATACTGTTTTTGTTTTAGCATCTTATTATATTGGGAATAATGTCAGGTTTGACCTGAACTATTAGCTATATCATTATAAAGTATGTAGGTTAAGCCATTATCCAGATTCTGTTTTCTAAATATACTTAAACAAGTTTATTTTAACGAAATCATATTTTAAGGAATAAAGCTAAAAAAAGGCTCACTTTTAAGAAAACCCACACATGCATGTATTACTTGACGTGAGAAAAGAACTGATGAGAATATTGTGCTTCCTGTTACTAAAACGATGAAGGCAAAGATGTGTCACAGGAAAGGAGTAGCTATTTGGCATGCAGTTCTAATTTCCAGGAACAGCCATCACTATGTGCTGTATAAGAAGCATCAGTGGCACACTCCCTACAGTGTCTGAGGGAGAGATTAGTCTAGTTCTATCACTGATATCTCCCCAGTACCTGGTCCAATTTCATGCATATTATTGGTGCTCAGCAGACATTTGTTAAGTTGATGTATTTATTCAATGAATTCCTTTGTAATGAACTTCTTCACCAAGCATCTAGGCTCTTTACAGCCTGAATCCACTTTCTCTGTCTCACCGAAACCCCGTTGATACAACACAAAAATGTGCTATAAGCAATTGATTTGATATGTTGCTATGACAACCCTTAATGCTGATCCTTTGAGCATGGAGCTTGTGGAAAAGACAGACCTTACAAAACTTGCCTTGCCACATCATTGACACGCATACACACACACACACACACACACACACACACACACACACACACACACACTATACATTCTGACTTAACTGAGTCCATATAGCTGCCTCAAAGTAACTGATAGTAATTTCCCATGTACTTTGGCACAAAATACATTGGATATTGACCAATTATATCAGAGTTGATTCTATGTCCTTCTAATCTACTTTTGCCTTTTAATGTACCTCAGTGAACTTCATTTTTAGGGGTCAAAAGCTAGAAATAGATAACTACCAATCTGATCTTAGAAGTTTGACATTTGAAATCTTAAAACATTCAAAATCATATTTTTTTCACTGTAAGAAGTTGCAAGTACATAGCCTTCAAGTGGGAGTCTGATTTTAGTTGTTCTCTATTATTCCATCATGTATCAGTTTACATTTCCCTCTTACAATAACCACTTATTAGTAGTCAACTTTAGAAACTAATGTTTTTTTTTTATAGTTGAAAGTTTTACAGAGAGAAAAAAAAGACAGACTTGGTTGGTTTTAATGTTGGAGGTCCTGGCACAGACTGCGTTTAAGGCAACTTTGGTGGTCTGGCAAGACTGTATAGTAGTCTTCCGGTTGGACAATGAGTGGCATTTACGAATTTGTCCATGACCTCTCTTCTTTGTGCGCCTCCAGTCTCCAGTGTCATCATTAATTAGTCTTAGGTCTCCCATTTGTCTGTTAGAAAGCGTCTTGGGTAAGCCAAGTTAATAAATTGGAGTGTGTGAGCTGCTGGCCACTGGAACATGCAACTGTGCAGGGGCAGTCAGAGGGCAGCCTTCTCCTTTGATCCCTTGGAGAAGTTTAACTCTAGCAGGTCCCATGGGAGCCCCAGCCTGTGGGAGTGCAGAGATGGCCTTCCAGCAGACCCATGTAATGGTTTTGCTTTCTAATTTCAAAACCAGGAGGTTCCTAGATGTGGGGAATGATTTCCCAAGCTAGCTTCCCCCCCCCTTTTTTTTGGGTTGGAGAACATTCTTCAATGGATTCTCACAATATGCTGTAGGATTTCATCAAGGGAATGAGAGGCATTACTTCAACTGGGGATCTATGCTGTGTCATGCCTCTGTAAAAGGGTCACTTGGCTTCTTCAGCATTTAGTCCCCAGCCATCACATTGTAATCTTCCCACTGTGAAATGTTTCCTGACCAAGTTTACTAGATCACCATAATAACAATATTTTTCAGATTTGCTTGCTAATGCTACATATTCTGCAAACTATTTTTATTCTTTATCTCATGTCATGCAGAAAGAAAGGCATCATCATTTTCTGATAAGACAAAAAGCCACAGCTCACTTGAGCTGACGAAAGTCTTGGTCCAAGCACATAGTTTTTCCAACTCTGAGACATGGCTCATAAAGTTTGAAGTTTTATGGACATCCCATCTGTCACTGCTTCCAGGAAAAAAGAAGAGCTGTAATGACCAATCTTTTCAATTCAGGAAAAGTAGAAGCCATCCTTTGGTGACTGTGGACACAAGGTCTTCCTTAAGCTATACTTTAATTACAAGAAGCAACCTTGAAGGAATCGACCTCATGATTCCAGTTATGTTTTCTAAATTGATAGCATGACATATTATTTACTCATAAAAATAGTACTAAAAGTTGTTATTGGAACTGGAATGTCACTGAGGGTGCTTTGAATTTAAAGAACTAGTGATTTATGCTGTGAGAAATCATATGGCTTCATGTATTCACAGAGTCATAACTTCATATCAGGAGAAAAATATGCCTCTCCGAAAGCTCATTGTCAAATGATGAGTCAAAGCAGATCATTCGAAGTTTATTTGACCCATGACCTGGACACTGAGGAGTCTAGAGGAGTCTAGAGATGCCAAGTCAATATGATCATCTTTGCTACCTTGCTTATACCTCATTGTTTGAGGTGATGGGCAGTGCAAAATCATTAAAGTTCACCAAGCCAGGGGCTGGGGAGGTGACACAGCCAGTGAAGTGCTCGCCAGATACATATGACGACCTAAGCTCAGCTCACTAGCACCCATGACAGTACTGGCCTGTAATCCCAGTGCTTGGAGAAACAGAACCAGATACCTGGGGGGTGGGAGGGTGGGGCTGGCTGACTGGAATGCCATTGGTTCAGTGAGAGACCCTGTCTCAATAAATAAGATGGAGAGTGAAAAGATAATCAGTGTCAACCTCTGGCCTCAACATACATGCACATATACATATACATAAATGTACACATTGAACATGCACATACACACTGAAAGTATACACATAAATGAAGTTTTTCTTTAAACATACTAATCCCTTTGAGATGGACGTGTGTCACCCATTACGGCTTTCTTTCCCTTTAACCCTACCCTAACTCCATAATCCAGTCTGTTTATTCTACCGTTAAAGTGTGTCCCCCTCTCCTTTTTTCCCTTTGTCCTCTGACATCACTCAAGCTCAAAGCACTTCTGTTTCACTGTTCCTGAGTTAACCACTCCTGGAGACAGTAAACTCTTATTACAGTTTATATGTAACCAAATTAGAACACTCTGGTTCTAAGCAACCTGATTATCAAGATAATAATTCGCTATAAATTCTGAGTGTCCTGTCTGAAGCAAATCAAGTAAAATTATTTCATGGATTAGCAAAGTGTTAGGTGTGTGGTGTGAGGACACAGGACCCTCACTCCATAACAAATGGAGAATCAAAGTAGGGAAAAGTGAGGCAGATTATTTTAGGATCTTGAGCACTCCAGCCCAGTAAAATAGAGGAGGCATCCTATTGCTTCCTGAGAATAGTATTTATCACCCTGAACTAGGTCCCTCCCTCTTTTTCCTCATTGGTCAAGCAATCAGGGAGAGGGGTTCAATCTTACCCATCACCTGGTACTTATATTTGTCTGTTTCTCCAACAAAGACTGCATGTGAATTTTTTTCTACATTTTGTTTACTGTTTGTTTTAAAGCTCTGCAAGTGTCCCATGTTTGCGGGTCACTAGGCAAGCTTGGCTGCTAATGGTTTTCTGCTCTGGGCTTGTAGTTTGGATGAGGATAGATGAACTAGCATGCCAATCGGGGTCTAGTGTTTTCTGTCCTGTTCACTGTGGCAGGATTTATGCTAACTCTCAGCACTTTCATCTTGAAAATGACTTTGTTTGTTTTAAATGAGAGGCATGAAGAGCAGATACAGTACTACCTGAACTGGACTCGAATGTCCATGACCATGATGATTCTGGGCAATTTGGATTTGTAGGAACCTCAGCAAAATCCTTCTCTGTCTATGAAACTGAAGAGGGTCAGGGACCTTTTATCCCTGGGATCAGTCCTTAGGTACCTTCTCCACTCTATTATGAGGAACAAAAAAGCAGGATACTTTACTTGCTATAAGTCATAGATCTTTTTGTGAATGGTTAAAAGGAAAATTGAATGCTGCCCATATCCCTGTTTCCAAAGAGAAGTACAGAATGTGCTGTTTTTCCTCATGGAGTTTGTTTAAACCATGATTGACTTGGAATCTGTACAATTGATAACATAATGCTGTGACAATGCAAGATCTCAACAAGTACTTATTCTTGATTAAGTGTAATCAACACTTCTCTTTGCAGCAAGTGAGCAACAGATGAAGCTGGTGTGCAAGGAGTCCCCAAAGGAGTATCTGCAGCCTTTCAAGGACAAGCTGGAGGACTTCTTCCAGAAAGGTAGGAGGCTTTCTCAGCTGCACATCATGATACTTAGGACCCCTCTTGACAGCACTCTTTCTGAGGCTCCCATTGCCACTTATTCTGACTGACCACAGACAACATTGCTGGGTCCATGGTCCATCTTCCAATGGTGGTTCTATCCTCAATGTAGATGGAGTTGTCCTGTAGCCTTTGTGTCACCTTCTAAGACTATTTTATAGTTTCAGTTATTCATTGACTTTTCTGCTTTTGAAATGTTTTAAAGGCAAACCTCTCTGTCTCCTCTGGAGCACAGGTGTCTTTGGTACATGTTAACCAACCATAGTGTGACATACAAAACTTATAACACAGGTGTCCTTGGTGCATGTTAAGAGACCACAGTGTGGACATGCAAGGCTTACAGCACAGGTGTCCTTGGAGCATGTTAACTGACCACAGTGTGGATGTACAAGGCTTACAGAACAGATATCCTTGGTGCATGTTAACCAACAACAGTATGGACATGCAAAGATTACATAGTCTGGCAGCTCAAATTTGTGGTCAGTCCTGACAGGCAGGAGAGGATTATATTCCTGGTTTCATGAGGATGGCGACCTAGAAACTTGAAATTTGTTGTTGTTAGTTGCATTGTGTTTTCTATTCCTTTACAGAGAGGCAAACTGGGGCCCAGTGAATGTTATCATCCCACTGCTTGGCACCCACGGGCTCTTTGAGATACCCAGGAGACCCTGCACTTACTTAGAAACCTTTGCAGGTTCTGTACCTTCCTTCATATTTTTGATAGCACTGGGAAGCTTTTATTAATACAGTGCTTTTATGTATTTCCTATTTTAATTTCCTGAATTCATTTTAAGATTTGAAAGAAAAATAAGTGTGGAGTTTTTGTATGGTGCTTTCTTCTTTACTAGAAAGCCAGAGAAAATGCATGTGGGAACTGTTGGGGAAATTTTAACATGCTGTTTCTATTACTGAATAAGGCCACATGATACCACACCATCAACAAAAGACTGCTAAGTTGGGTCAATTGACAAAGTATGGCCAAACCACCTTGGAAATTAGCAGAGAAATTCTCAGTCCATGAGTCACAGGAACTCCATCCCAGCTGCTCCCTCTTTGCAGAGATCACTGCTCTTTCCTCTATGGGAAAGCCTTGTTTTTGTGAAAGCAGGAGTCTGAGTTGGTCTTGCTGAACCTCATATTTGATGGGAATAATGAATCAGGGCCAGTACCATCTTGAGTGCAAACAATTACTCAAACATTTTGTTCTGTGTGCGTGTTACTAGATACATTTTTTAATGTGACTCATCAAGGCAAATGTGTTGCTTTATGGCTTTGTTATGCATATATAACCTGTAGATGCTTCCATAGCCAGAAGATGCTTCTTTCTATTCACTAACCTTAATTCATAAGACTGTTTCTTTTCACGCATGTAAAGTGAACTTGAAATGAGGTCCGTATGGATTAGATTCTGTACTTTTTAAAATTTTACTCGTCTATATCTGGAAAATTCTAACATGTATGTATTGGAGCTTTTTCTTGCCTGCATATCTCAATGACCTTAAAATATTTTTTAAAAGAGCCAGTATCTTGATACACTGAGAATTCTATTATTTCATACTTTGGAAATTTACCACATGTCTCAGCTCAAGGAAGCAAGCCCTAAAATAGTGCTTGAGAATTTCAAACTCTTGAGTATTTTAATTATTGACATCCCCAACTCCACCCTAATCAATTCTCTCCATCCTCACTTTCCCACATACTTAAACTTTTGTACTTTCTTCCTTTTTTAAAAGATCTACTGGATCCAGTTTGTGTTGGCTAAGTATACTCGGGAGTGGAGCCTATCCTACTAGGTCACACCGTGAAACAAAACTGACTCTTTCTCTCGCAGTAGCTATCAAATGCCAATAGCTCCTCAGCTACCAATGGGATTTCATGCCTAACAAACCCCCATGCTGGCATTTTGTCTGGCTTGAGCTTGCATAAATCTTATGAATGCTTTCACAAGCTATATGAGTTTATATGTGCAATTGCCATATACGTGGAAAACACTTTCTTTAAAGTTATCTACCATTTATGGCTCTTAAAGTATTTCTATTCTCTCTGCCTTAAATATCCCCACATCTTGCAGGTAGGAGTGTGATAGGTGCATCTCCTTTAGGGACAGTCCCTTATCCCTGTGTTAATCACCATCTACTAGAAGAAGCTTCTATGATGATGTTTAAAGGATGCTGTGATCTATAGATAGCAATAAGTAACTAGGAGTCATTTTAATAGTATGTCTATTTAAAGAATAATAGTATTGGGTTCTCTCCTAGAGCCTATAACCTATCTAGCCACGAGCTCTTGGCCCCATTAACAATGCCAGGTATAGTTTCCATTTCATGGAGCAGGCCTTAGATACAATAAGAAAGTGGTTGGTTACTCCCATAACATTTGTGCTATTATTGCACCCATAACTTGCCAGGCCAGCGATTATTGTAGCTTTCAAGGTTTATAGCTGGGTGAAACTGATGATTAGTATTCTCCAGTATTGTGGATGGCACTGACCTATACTATGAAAGTTAGCCAGTATGGATAAAACTTCCAGGTAAGTACCAGGTTGGTTTTACCATGTTCTTTGAGTCAGATATATGGTACCTGCTGAAACAGGGTCTTTCCATCAAATTCCATATGAAGAGTGTTTGTGGTAGCCTCTAAATCTTGCAGGTCTATAGAACCTCATCAGTCAACAACGTCAGAAGAGGTGACCCATTTTTCTAAGTCTCAATATCCAAAGCCAACTCTAGATCCACCAGCAGCTTCTCTGGCAGTGGAAGCTTTAAGGTGGGGTCAGGCAGCAGAATATTTCTCACTCTCTAAATAGTACCATTGTGAATTTCAAATTGAAGATTGTCCTTGTCAACTTCAGTTCACTTTTTAATATATATTCAAAGATATGTATTCAGAACCTGCCATATGTAAGATACTGATAATTCTAAACTGATTCATATTCTTAGATCCTATACCAAGGGCTTTCTTATTAGACCAAGATGGGCTATCGTCAGCCCTCCTTTAGCCAACAGAGTAAAGGAAAGGTGAAAAGGACACCAGGAATGGTTTCAAATCATGTTCTTAAAAATTACTCAAAACAAGACACAAAAAGAATTTGAAGGGAATATTATACTGTTATTTTTTTTCAAAATTAAGAATATTGTGAGAATTTTAAATGTTCCCATCATGATGGGGTGAAAAGTCCACTATGGAAATAGCATCTCATTATTACCTTATTATTTAGCTGAGTTTATAGAAACAACTTGCACTTGCACTGTATAATAGAGTAGACATTGGCCCCATTTTGCTGTTGGGCAACTCTAATATGGCTAAGTCCAGGACCAAAGCAATAGAAACCATGTTCTTTATGTTTTCTTAATATTGATTTCATTGTAAAGTAATTGTATCTTCATTCCATTAGGTAACATAAGTGAAATATAGCCTCAGTATTAATTGTTTTACTCCACTTTTTAAGCATAACTATCAGACGACTTAAAATTCTGTTTGTGGCCCACATCGTATTTCTGTTTGACACTACTCTAGAGCTGTGACCACATCTTTCTTCATCTCTTCCTGTACCCTTCTTGTTACTGTCCTGCCTTCTTGGCATCATCATCACAGTAGAGAGTTTCCCAGACTCACCTGTACCGGCATTGGCTCTGTGTCTGACTGCCAGCTAAGGCTGCTCCGGGGATGGTGTGGCACAGTACCACAAGAGGCCATGGTTTTGTAGTTCAGCAGTGTGTAACTAAGAACCACATGATGCAAAATGTTAGCCTAAAATATGATTTAGAAGGTGGAGCTTCACTGGCTAGACACACAAATGGAATATCCCTTGATTACTCTTGGGACACTAAAGAGTAGTTCCTTTTTAAGGAAAAAAAGATTTATCTGGTTTTAGTTTCACTTGGCTCCATTGTCCATGAGCTGTGTTTGGGCAGTATGTTATGATAGGAAAACAGAGAAAAGACAGTACTACTTTTGTTTTGCTTTGTTTTGTTTGGTTTTTAGAGGCAGGGTTTCTCTGTTTAACAGCTCTGAATGTCCTGGAACTCACTTTGTAGACCAACCTGGCCTCAAACTCAAGATCTACCTGCCTCTGCCTCCCAAGTGCTAGAATTAAAGGTCTGCACCACTGCCGGTAGCTACTTTTTTTTTAAGTGTTTTTTTTAAAGTTGTTTCTCTGATTAATAGAAAACATAAAATTCTCTGCCCACCACAAACATGCATTATTGACCTTGCATAATCACATTTTATGGTAAGTTTCGTGCAATTTAAGTATAGCTTTTATCTGATTTCACATTCTCGTAAGCGGCAGCTCTATTACCTGTGCTTCTAAGGGAGGGACTGCTGCTAGCCAAACCTTGATTTGCAGAACACAAGATATACCTCAACATTGGAAATGCCCAGTGTGAAATCCCCATCAGTCTTGGAGTTGGTACAATATGATAATAAAACTGGGTGTTAGGAGCAGAGAGGAGGAATGGCCAATAGGATGAGATTCAAGAAAGGAAATGTGTTTCGTTAAGACATTTTCAGAAAGATCAGAGGTGTTGCTGCTGAGAGGGGTGACGGTCTCAGGCACTCACCAAGAGTCGGTATGGTCTGGATCCTGTGGAAAACAGATCTCTTGATTTTGCCCACAGGCAACCATCTATCGATGACCACCACCCTGTTCTCCAGAAGGATTTTTCTCAGATACATTAGGAAAGGCAGCCCAGGCAGAGGGAACACTGCAACTCTCATAATGATCAAAGATGTGATGTGTTTAAGAAATGGATGAAACTTGGTGTGACCTAATCACAGGGTTTGTGTGACGTTGTCAAGACCTGTAAGGAGAAGAGAACCACCATAGGACTCGATGAAAAACCTGAGCCTCATATTATACACAACAGACAATAGTGAAAAACACTGTGTACCGGGATGGCAAGTGCATGCTGGGCTGTATATGTTGTTTGGTGGGGATGCAACGGGGGGTCACTTTT